TCACGCCTATTCAGTGTTACGCTGAACTCTTTTGTCTTTCTCTGGATAGAATTTAAAATGTGTTCTGTTACTTTAATAACCATTTGTACTATTGCCCGCAGTGATTAACCGGGTATCGCTGTATATGTACGCCTTATCTTCAAATCCCCGTTTGTACATATCTTCCGCGTTGTGTTACTTCTGTCCTTCACATATTGTATTTCTTTGAGTCCCTTTCATGTCTCCCATGTTTCTCCTCAACGTTGAATCATTTTCTTTCTCTGACATCAAGTCATCTATCTCCCAGCTATTTGATATTTTTAGGCCGATGAACGTCTCTTTATATACTGCTGATAAATCTTATCAGTAACCCATTCCATAATTTCATTCCTACTCCTATATATATGGAAATGACATGACGTCATTCAGTCGTAGAGTTATACTGTAGACAGTTCACGTTTATCTTGATTGACTAAATCCATTGGGAAATCTGTTGATCTAGTTCAGTGTATAGGTCATAAAGGTATTATAGGTTTCTCTATCTTAGGAAGTTCATGTATTTGTGGTATATGCTTCAGGATATCAGTATTACACATAGCTTATTGTCAGTTGAACTCAATCTAAACAATTTAAGTGATCATTTCAGTCATTAATACCATGTCTATACTATTCTTTTCGGTAGAGAGGTGTTTACGGTCATTCAGTGAACGTGTTATCTCTGAAATGTGGTTTCATTTGCTTAACAAAAATACATTGGAAAATTTAACGACTCACTGGCACAATTCATTAGTTTCCTGTAAGTTAATCAACAGCCATTTGGTAAATATTGAGAAAGAAATTCTTAATGGCGGACTGGTTAGCTAAATCTAGTAGTGTGGCAATTACAAATTTCTCTATCTATCTAATGTCGGACTTGAATAGTTGAATCAATGAGCATTTACAATATATATATATATATATATATATATATATATATATATATATAGCAACAGAGGAGCTAGGTTGCCTGTTCTCACCATTAATGGGGAATGGAGACTCATTGTGCTTCTGGAGACATTTTAGGATTATGCTCTGAAATTCTTATTTGCAAAGATCGATGGGTCCTCCCTATGTATGTGTGTCCCAATGTATATTTAAATTGGTAAATACATCTTAAATTCGTTAGTAAATATACTTCAGAAACAACGCATACACATAGTAAAGTCATTTCACTGAAAGTAGAACAGGACAACTATCAAACAGTTTTCAACTCTTCACTATATCTTGGTGACTCCTCGGTTTTAATATTAATTGCATTTTCTAAACAATTCAACCTCAACTGATCATTTTTCTTTCAACAAATTACATCATCTTAACTAGTGCCAAAGCTAAAAACTGTAAACTCTTTCATTGATTATTATATATTTCCATCGTTGAATTTAAAATAAGACACATAAGCTAACAGTATTATTTCCAGTTATATTTTTTAGGCCTTACTTTAATGTAGATCGCTTCATTTGTAAAGTAGATCCCAACTGAGGAGGTGGAGGTGTGAGTAAATTTCACTATTGGTTTTGTTACAAACCAATATCAGCCACACAGTCACTGGCTTTGATTTCTGGTAAGGTCAAAAGTGCACACCAATGGACAGTCGCGAGCGAGGATTAAACAGCTGTCCAGTGCTTCCTAGTTTTCAGGGATTCTCTGACTGGTGTTGGTTCGTGATGAAATCTAACTGAAACTTCATACTTCCCTCTGACCTTTTAGATTATTTGCAAAGATGTCTTTACTAATATATCATATTCATCCAAGTTAGACAATCATGAATCTCATCCGGCGTTATGAATATCAAATTTAAGGGTTGGGTGGCAATAGAATTTCATATAATTATGCACTGGACAATGCCGTCATTTGCTATATTAGCTACAATTCTTATTGCATTTTCAGTTATTGGCTTGCAGCAATCAAAACATTTCAGTTAGAAGTCCACCTAAAAGCATGGTGTACTGGACAGCTTTTTCGTCCTTGTCTAGGAATCCACGATAGATCTAACTCAGGACCTTCAATTCACATTCACTCAAAGGGTATCCAATAGCTTATCCAAATGAATTTGTTCAATTCGTTCAGCGTTTAGGACAAGGCATGTAAATAAGACATTGTCTGATGTTCATTTCTATGTTCAGCAGTAAAGTTATCCTATGAAGTAATAAACCATTTGGATAGGGAATTAATACACAGTGTAAAAATTAAGTTGATGCATAAAAATGATTGAATGGTTATTGATTAAACCCGTACAAGCACCATCCTAATTTAAACAATCCTTTCTTAGATTTATTACTTTAAGATGCTTAAGTAAAAATATTTTCTCAATCATTTCGTTTACAGTTAATTTGACGTTGTAAAATACGAAGAAGATAACGATTCACATGGTTAAATTGATTTCGCTGTTCTACCTTACCCTTCTTTTTGGCTTCTGTCCGGTAAAGCCAGGTGAGTTATATTATTTTCATTGTTAATTTGTTTTGCAAATTACATAGTTAAGAATATCAGGCCACCCTCAGGTTGTAATCTATAATTTGTTGTACTACTGATTTTGTACTGTTAGTCGTTGAATTCATTAAGCAGAGTAAATGAATCATGAGACTGTCTCGGATAGCCATGGTAAGTTTCGCACATAAATTCAGATACCTATTATATAGAAAGAAAACTTGTGATGAATATGAAAAGTTTCATTTTAGAAGATAATGCCATGCAAGTTCCAAAATGTTAATCAAAATTATGCATTGTCATGTACAGCTGCAGCTGATTTTATCACGTTTAAGGATCTTGGTCAATAGATTTCGACTTCAGACACTACTTAACTTTACTCCATTGAGAAATATCACATATGCAATATTTAAAATTAATTTAAACGTTGGCTAGGTTTAGTTTTTTTTAGGAAAGTGCCAGAATTTCTCTCCAAATATGAAGTGATATACAGAAACACAAGATGAAAAATATGAACCAGTCCTTCTATTTGGTTCTTTTACGCAGACAGCTTACTTAAAAGCCAATTAAATGAAACAAATATTACAGTGTGCACCAAAATAATAATAAAGAAAAGAAACGACTGAATAAACGGATACCATATTAAAATAAACGTATACTTTAATCGTATATATATATATATATATATGTATATTTCCTCGCAACTACTTCTGAGAGACATAACTAAATAGTTTTAGGTTTAACAACAGATTGCCCTTCTTGAAATCTCTTAATACTAATTCACTTAACAATAGTAACTAACAGTTTTTTTGATTGCATACTAGTCACTAACTAGTGTAATGTGTCTAGTCCTATCTTCACAGCAGACTATCAGTCGAGCTTGCAATGTAGCCACCTTGCTAGGTGGCTCGCCATTACGGTACACTGTGAATTGTCGGTATTAGATGGTTGGGGGCAATCGCCAAGAAGCCTTGGACCTAGGTTCCGTGCTAGTTGGCACTCATCAGCGAGGCGTATCTACAACCTGGAAGGAACTCATGTCCCTTCTGAGATTCGAATCTGCAACCTTGACTGATCGAATTCAGTCTTCAGTGAAGATGGGACTACACACAATACACTAGTTATTGACTAGTATGCAATCAAAAATATCCAATACAGTCTTACAGGAGGTCAATCGCGAGCCTGAATAGCTCAGTGGTAAGGTCTTTGACTGCAGCACTGGGTGACGAAGGCTCAAATCTCAGAAGGGACATAAGTTCCTTCAATGTTGCAGGTACGCCTTGCTGATGAGTGCCAGCTAGCACGAAACCTAGGTCCAAGGCTTCCTGCCGACTACCTCCAACCATCTAATAGTAAATAACAGTTTATAGATAAATGTTTCGTTATCCTCATAGAGAGACTGCACTTATCTCCACGATCCAAATTTCATAGACTTCCACCATATCTGAAGCTAAATACTTTTTGTTTATTTCACTTTATTCATATTTTCTTCTAACAGATTTTGGCTGTGCGTTCAAATAAGCCATCTGATATCATCACGGCTTTTAGACTTGTCAACTGATTCATGTAGCTAATTTAGAAAGTGGATATTTAGCTGAAACTTCAGTGTAACATTTTCCAAGGGAATGCTATATTGGGTGAATGCTGATAGTTTTCACAAGAACAAAATTTCCTCCACGCATATAATTAACGACAAACAATAGATCCATTTACACAGGTTAATTCTCCAGATAATTATTAGAAATAATGAGAATAATCGCTTAAACTTTAATCTAGAATAAAACCAAATTACTACAATCCACTGAATACGCTGATTGGTGAAACCTCCAGAGCCAAACACCTGTGACGTTAAACAAGTGAGGTAGTGAAAAGTAATGTCCTCTAAACAAAAGGCGAATATGTTGTTAAATTAACCTGCTGAAAATCATGAAAGTTCAACAAAAGATTGATCACTATTGGCGATTGTGCTATATGTAGAGGTGACAATAGTTACGCTTTATTAGCCATAGGATTCCAAGCCATTTACTGAATGTTTAGTTGTTTGCAACGCAGCCAAAGCTTCATCAGGGCTCCTCATGAACATGAACCTCTGAAGAGTCACTAGCTATAATGCAACATCTTCAAACTGCTTCAACTTTCAGTTTTGCTCTGAATGATATGGACTGGCGATGGAATCTAGCTTGAAGCAACCAAACTTCTACAAGCCAAGACTTGAAGGATAAAATGTTAAATACGAAGCGAAGTTTCTGTTACATTAAAAAATGGAAATAATACACTTTTAATCTTCACTTTAAGATATTCCGGAGCAAGTCGCACTATAAGAGGAGATTAATTTTAGTGTCTTCTTTTGAGATTCAGCAGAACTGGATATGTGACTCTTTATTTCGTTCTTTTTCTATCAGTAGGTATTTCATTCTAGATTCTTACTTATCACGAAAACTATTACAAGATAAACAGATTTCAGATGAACTACTTCAACAAATAAAATTTTAGATTTCTATCTACTGAAAATAATAAAAAAGAGAACAATAAACTTGAAATTTCTCTCTTACTTTATGTTTCATTCAGAGGCGTCAACAAATTCAGAGTATCCTTCATCGTTTTCCCATGGAACTGAACAGTCAACAACAGTTGCAACGGTGGAAGAAAATTTACTCACTGGATCTGAAAATAAAATTACCCCCGAAAATGCAACAGAAGGTTAGGAAGAAGTATATTAACTGGTATTTTATCATTCGAATTGGGATTGTTTTCGTTAGTCATACGTTAGTAGGCTATTATCGATATGATGAGTGACAAATGTAAGTGAAAGGAAAATCTGGATCATGCTATGATTCAGACGAGTGGCTTCCTTGTAAGAATATTGGCATCGTTGCCTATGATCTTACAGACACAACTGCTAGCTAAGCCACCAATCTACCGCGATCACCGCGAGTGATAGTGAGCCGTTATGTGAATAGGTGATAAGTGCAGATCCGTTTGTTAGTACATAAGCCGACCAACTTGCTCTTCTGTAAATTTTAATCATATTAAATAAGAACCGTCGAAGTTGTTAATTAGTAACTGGGACCTAGACAACCCTGGAAATCATTGTTGATCAGTGTTTTCAGTTAATCACGTAGACAACGCGAATGTCAGAGCTTGAAAAATTCGTCAAAGTCAGTGTCTTCAAGAATAAATCTCTCGGTGTCGTCTCATATCTTTAGTTACACCTTGGACTTTTATAATTTTGGACAGCATTTGATCAAATACTATTAAAATAAAAAAAATCGCTATTCGGATTTTAGGTTATTCAGCTTTAGAGCCTGAAAAAGTTCGAAAAGTTCTAATAGTGTGAGTCAGTTTGTAATGTATGATTTCAGACAATAGTTATGAAAACTCTCAAAGTAATGACAAATATATTAGTGCTAAAAATTACAAATGTTACAAGTAGTTAGAAAAAAAACACACAAACATCAAGTCAGTAGAAGTCAACACGGTCGTTAGAAGAAGTTAGTAGAAGTGGTTGGATGATTTTCATTTTTATACACAACTCTGGTTTATCTAGCTGAACGGGTAAGCTTTCAGCAATACCAAGGAGACGAAAGCGAATCGCCTTTGGTAGTTTGTTCATCATTTTGCAGCATACTTTGAAGGAAGTGCTTATTGAGATGAAATGACCAGTGGTGACGACATGTTCGATTGTTGCGCTCTTTGTACGGCTACCACTTCCCTTCTGCCGCCACACTGGATAGTGTTCTTTGACCCTTTTTGACAGGATGCCCGTCGAATAACCGATGTACTTGGCTCCACAGCAACAGGTTAACTGATATATGCACACAGAAGTGGCCAGATGCGGCATCATGTCCTGAAGGCTTCTGTAGATCAATGGGCGTCTGGTGAACACTGCACTTAGCGTTGCTGCGACGAATGTTGTTTTCAAAGATGCTGAAATTCTTCTTTTGAGGATATCGCAGGCTCAGTGTCTCTTGATATACAGATTCATAGAAAGTATCTCAATTGAAACAAGTGATGCTGAGTACCTCTGGATCTTGACTCCCTCCCTAGTGACAGTTCTATTGCTCATCACATTTTTGGAATGTTTTGACAAAAATAAACTTAACTTATGTCAAATTAACTGTAGTCAAGATTTGACAGAATAGTTCTAAAAGATTTGGGCGCCGAGTGAGAAGTAGACACTCGTAAAAAATTATATTTGTAAAATCTCAGCGATATTGAAATGAGTAATTCCAACGTTTCGTTCGGCAATCTGGTCCGAACTTCTTCAGGGAAATTAATCGAAATTAACATAACAGAGGTTTATATATAAAAGGAACATCTCTCATTTTTAAAAACTTTGTCCAATCATCAGTCATAAAACAGGCATCAACATGTACAATAAACAAAATTGTATGAGTTGTGATCAAAATTTGACCTCAGACTTACAAATATTGATCTACCTTTGTTAAACACTTTAAACACAGTGTGTATGTGTGCGGATAAACAGTTGTAAAACAATGTCTTAACGTCTCCATAAGTAGATATAGACAGTCAGGAACTTTGATCAAGTATTATTAGTTAGTGATACATATCCATTCTTATTTATTAATCAGGATTTCCTATGCGTCAGCCAACATCACACCTTCATGTCTGTTCAAACTGTTAGTATCTAGAATCTTATGATTAGACGTATTTTCAAAATTATGGTGTTTAGGATTAGAGTTTAGTTGAAGCACCCTGTCAAACTCATGACTTTGTCTTCTTTCTGAAAATTGAGCTGATTTATTCGACCTACTGGAGTTGTCAGTTGACTGAACAGCTACGGATTTAGGGTACGCATTCTGTTGCGGACACCGGAGAGTGGAAACACGATGATTGTGCCAATTACATAGTTTCTTTGTTAATTTAATTCGATTGCAAAATAAGTCAAATGAACTGTAGTCAAGATTTGACAGAATAGTTCTAAAATATTTGGGCGCCGAGTGAGAAGTAGACACTCGTAAAAAATTATATTTGTAAAATCTCAGCGATATTGAAATGAGTAATTCCAACGTTTCGTTCGGCAATCTGGTCCGAACTTCTTCAGGGAAATTAATCGAAATTAACATAACAGAGGTTTATATATAAAAGGAACATCTCTCATTTTTAAAAACTTTGTCCAATCATCAGTCATAAAACAGGCATCAACATGTACAATAAACAAAATTGTATGAGTTGTGATCAAAATTTGACCTCAGACTTACAAATATTGATCTATCTTTGTTCAACATTTTTAATAATATATATAGTAATTTAACTTTTAACAAATGTCTACTTCTCACTCGGCGCCCAAATATTTTAGAACTATTCTGTCAAATCTTGACTACAGTTCATTTGACTTATTTTGCAATCGAATTAAATTAACAAAGAAACTATGTAATTGGCACAATCATCGTGTTTCCACTCTCCGGTGTCCGCAACAGAATGCGTACCCTAAATCCGTAGCTGTTCAGTCAACTGACAACTCCAGTAGGTCGAATAAATCAGCTCAATTTTCAGAAAGAAGACAAAGTCATGAGTTTGACAGGGTGCTTCAACTAAACTCTAATCCTAAACACCATAATTTTGAAAATACGTCTAATCATAAGATTCTAGATACTAACAGTTTGAACAGACATGAAGGTGTGATGTTGGCTGACGCATAGGAAATCCTGATTAATAAATAAGAATGGATATGTATCACTAACTAATAATACTTGATCAAAGTTCCTGACTGTCTATATCTACTTATGGAGACGTTAAGACATTGTTTTACAACTGTTTATCCGCACACATACACACTGTGTTTAAAGTGTTTAACAAAGATAGATCAATATTTGTAAGTCTGAGGTCAAATTTTGATCACAACTCATACAATTTTGTTTATTGTACATGTTGATGCCTGTTTTATGACTCATGATTGGACAAAGTTTTTAAAAATGAGAGATGTTCCTTTTATATATAAACCTCTGTTATGTTAATTTCGATTAATTTCCCTGAAGAAGTTCGGACCAGATTGCCGAACGAAACGTTGGAATTACTCATTTCAATATCGCTGAGATTTTACAAATATAATTTTTTACAAACTTATTTTGATTCTCATCGGACAAACGTAATATCAAGGTCCTTATTCCTAATTTACCATTATTTGCGAAGACGCTCCAAAACACAACAACCAATTAAAACTTGTATTGCTGGGCAGTTAAAATCTTTATTATACAAAAGTTTATAAACAAATGTTTTACAAGGAATGCACTTTACTTTTATTCGTATTCTGTCGTTTTCTTACAACTTGTATACGACTGAATCATTCGCTCCTTCGTGTTGCCCGCCAATGGCTATCAAGGTCAATGAACCAACTTTCAATGTTGACATTCCTTTACACCTAGTGTATAAGCACGCATACAGAAATAAGCGTATATCAATGCGATTGTACAGCTAAGTGAATAAATTCGCTGAAACCCCTCGCTGGACTACGTCTTTTATTTTTATTACTGTCTGATGGGGATTATTCATGAATTAAAATGAAGTTATCAAATTCTAATACATTAGGACATCATAACCCATCAGGTTCATAAATGCTTAAATTGAGACATAGAGGAACTAACACCATTATGGAAGATATACAGGTAATGCCCAGATACCTGTACGACAAATGAGCGGTTTGAACTGTGATGACCCACCCAACTAAAGGGTTTTCTATTAGAAATCAGTTTATTCACTTGTTTATGCAAAATGTTGCTCACTTAATGCAACCGTTTTACAGTCATACATACATTATCCCACTTTTTTCATGCTAAATTTATCTTATCCTTTCTCTGTAACTACCTTCGACAGTCTTCACATCGGATTCTACAAATAATGTTACCAGTGTTCCTGTTACAGCGATGAATACCCTTATAACTTCTGAAAAACTTGTGCCATCAGATTCATTAATTTCCGCAGGTAAGCCTCAACTTGTCCATTCCTCCTTATAATTTCATATATCTTTTGAATGCATTGTTCACTCTGGCCTTTTCGGCATTTTCAAATTTAATTTTGAGCCGTCGTTTACTAATTATTATATAATGTTCATTGATAGAGTGTGCCATCGCCTATATGGCTATAAATTCTAACTAGCTCCTCTCCCAAATTGAGTGAAAATGGTTGTATATCATTTATAATATTCAACGTTAAAAGTCAACGTGTATTTTGTTCACTTCAGCACTCACCAATATTTTGCACATGCATCCCTGAGCAATAGCACTAAGTAGCACAACGAAAACCTAAATGAATAAATGAAACAGATATGAAAGGCATTCATTAGGAAGATTATAAAAGGTCAAAAGAAAAATTTAAAAAAATAACGGTGAAATTAATAATGATAACATAAATAAGAAAAAATATAAGGCATCTACAGTTTTACCATATAAAGAGAGGACATCCAAGACCTTATGTAGGATTCTTAATAAAGAAGGAATTAGGGGGGGCATTCAAACCCGCAAACTAACTCAGAGATAAGCCCTGTAGGCCAAATGACTCTGTTGACCCAATTAGACAAAATAATGTAATTTACAAAATACCTTTCAATGGCTGTGAGAGAGGTCAACTACATAGGTCAAGTTAGTAAATCAGAGTAATTAAACAGTCAGAAGAAAAGAATTTAGTGGCTAAGGTTAAAATGATTGACCCTGCGAAGATAAGTAATTTAGAAATAAGTTCAGCGATCGCACTTCATGCATAAACACACAACCACACAATACAGTGGGGGAGGGTTAAACTTCTAAGAAGTAATATAGAAAGGTGGATAGTGAGGTTGATTTCTGAGTCTTTGTTTATAGAATCTTCAGTTAACACTTGAACTAGGAATTACTCATCGTCGATACCAGAGATATAGAAAGTACTACTCTCGATCAAATCCAGTGATGAAAAATAGTGGAATATTATATAAATGAAGTTATAAAGTTGTGCGAGTAACTTTATTTATTTTTTATTTTTGATTACAGCATGATTTCACACCGTATTTTTCGTACAGGTATAGAGTTTTTGGCATGTAATATCGGTAGCCCAAATTTTGTGGGCCGACCATAGATATCAAGTGTGCGTCGACAGAGGATCGGACTCCGGACCATGTGCATGATCGGCGAAAGTCCTAACCGCTGTGCCACCGACGCACAGGAATAAATTGTATTAGAAGCGTGGTCATCAGTAGATATAACTGTATAAGAAAGTGAGAATTTGTCAAGATAAACTTTCTCCATAATGGGAGGAATCTATATGAGTCTTTTTTGGAGTAAAGGCGTATAATAATATGTTGTATGTATCTTCATAAAAGAACACTTCGTTAAAAGTTTGAAAGCACCTAACTTATTGATGAGTATTGAAAGATTCGAAAGGAAAATATATCAAGGAGTTTGACATTCTAAGAGAGTACACTGTAGTGTACCTCACCTTGCGATAGTACACATATGTGATAGATTTTGAGAGAGATTTTAGAATATGCAATTTGATTGCCAATGACGTGAAGAGAGATTCGTTTGCAGCTTAATGTAATGATATAAAACAATAATAAAATTAATTTCATAATAATGAAGAATGAAAATGGTAGATAGATATCTAACCATAAGCAGGGTTGAGAAAACGTTGTGGGTAGGCTAAAAAGTAAATGGAGTTGCTGTTTTATCCTAAACAAAACAAAAAAACATCAAGGAAATTAAGGAAAATGTGGGATAGACGCAAACTGAAAAACATTGCAGGGAAAAAAATACACACCACAAAAAAAGAACCATACAAAAAATACCAGAAAGCAACATAAGTGCGAAAAAAGCGACAATATAAGATATGAAGTCGAAATTCAACATAGAAAACTTCAAAAAAAGAAACGCCAAACAAAATAAATAATCGAAAAATGATTAAACCGGCGAAGAATAAATACAGACACAAAAACCAACAATAAATACACCACGGATACGGACAAAAAATGAAAAAAGGAGAAAATATCCCCCCACTATTTGTATTTGTTATCCCAACATTTATATATTTATAAGTGTAAAGCCTGAAAACGATTATTACTATATGGTTTAATTACTTGTGTTGTAAATATGTTCATTATAATATGATTAGTAATAGCAATAATAATGACTTTATTCCCAACAATACGCCTGATACAGTGTGGAATTTTCAGCATCTAGTACACTGTGTTCCATCTAATGTTCTCTTCATATATTTACATATTACGGTGAAGGATGGTGTGGGAATAATTAAGAGGATATTTACAATAAATACGAAATTAAAATTAAATATAAAAAGTGACAACAAGATAATAATAATAGTAGGAAGGATAAAAGGTGCCGACGTATTTACTGTTTCACAATGAGTTAATAGTTTAATGTGCTATTGCAAATGTATGTGTAGGCGGTTGTTACTTCCCGGCTGCCCACATCACCGTGGAAGTTGACTGATTCTTCGGGTAGCTGAAACAAAAAGAGGGTTAGTGATGAGTAACCGCAGAGCTCATGGGACACCTACTTGAGGCCAACCGTTCACACACGGTCTGTATGAATTGGTTTCTTGGATTGGTTCCGTATTAATAAACTTACCGTCGGTTACGGAGCACCATAAGTTAAGTTGGGATGTACAGTTGTTAGGGTCGACCTTTTCTAACCCTCTTTCCCTCTCTCCAGAGTGGAGAGACCATATCTGGCTGGTTGGCATTCTGGTCATCTGAGGGAAACATATTACTGTGGCTGTTACATCCTTATTCTCCAGCAGTACGACTTCGCCCACAGATCCCCAGGATAGTGTAGAATAGAATTCTTACATTATGCGGGTAACTGCTTTTAGTCTGAACGCTATCCCAACAACCTGCATGACACAATAGCTCTAGGCTGTGTAGCTTGTTGGGTCATTGCGGTATGCAAGCCTGACCAACACGTCATGGTAACAGCTATCGATTCGGCCCACCTTTTTCCTTACCTTAAAGGGTTTATTTGTCTCTCCTGCTTCCATGTTAACTCCTTATTGCGAATATTTCAACGACGTCCAAGGATTTAACATTGATGTTACTTGATTCGTTGGTGAGTGACAGTGAAATCCAGGCCATGTGAATTTCGTCCTAATTAGGACTTCATCAACTAGTGAATACATCTGAAATTCCAGTGAATAATCATGATGTCCCTACCACTGGAAATTGAACTCTGCAACAATCATTTCAAACGATAAACTCTCAACGGGGACACCATTCCTTACTGGGGAATATAAGTACATCCACCAGATGACAAGTCCAGAAAGGGACGAAACGCACATCGAAATTGGATTCCACAGCTATCAGCTACCATCAGTGAGAATGATGCCATAGTAAAAAAAACTAGTTTATTTATCGAGTTTGCCCAAGGATCGATGTCACTTAGGGGACCATTGAATACTAGTACCAGAGTACTGGAAAGCTGTTTCGTCCTAGTTTGGAGTTCGAATCCGGGACCTTCTGGGCAGTATACCATTTGATTTAATGTCCAATGAATTCTAGCTTCTACCAATTCGTGATTTTCGCACGATTGGCAACACCCGATATCATCGGTAAGAAATTCATCCTCACACTTAACTGGATGAATCTCACTGGTCACAACTTCTCATTAGAACTCCAGAAAACTCCGTCCTTTAGCAAGTCAACAGGTAGCATGAGGTTAATTCTCCAGGGTTGATTTGTAAAGATTAGGTTTACTTTGTCGCAGCTGTTATTATTATTATTATCGTATTGTCTCTTTTTGATCCGTTTCCAGTGTGGTGAAAAGTAGAAAAGCCATTCTATTTTTAACCAATTTATTTAACCCTGTTACGTAATGTTTTGTTTATCGAGTAATCTTATGAATTTCATACCACCTTTCTGTGAGATATATATATATGTTGCATGAATGATTTTATAAATTACGTAACCTGCTTTGTTTTCGCTCAATATATTTAACTATGATTTATCATCACAAATATTTTGTCGCGATTCACACCACTATTACAGTCATTATTATTATTGACACCTATTCTCTAAATGTCCACACCGGATACATTTACTAACAATTCTAAACACGATATTCAGGGAAGAGATTAATTTTCAACGAATTTATTATCGAGAATTTGATCTTAGAGATTTGATATCAGTTAGAGAACAAATTTTAAGAAAATGTCATGGAGTACTGTATAGACAGCCATTTCACCCTCCTTCGAGACTCGTCTGTAGTACGCATCCACCGCCAGGGTTCGAACTCAGGACTTTCTCGTTACTAATCAAGTTTGTAGACCACTCAGTGACTGGGAGTGTACCCCAAATACTCATCAACCTTATTCAACATCTGGCTGTACGACAACGGCACATGTCAAGCGATCCACAACGGAAAACTCAGCGGAGCGTTTGCAGTAAACACAGGAGTCAGACAAGGGTGCTTATTATCACCCACGATGATATTCCTAGTTGTGGTGGACTGACTGGATTATGCGTCAGACAGTGAGTGGGAAACGAGAAGACAGGGATATCCTGGACCGACCGACGTGAAGAACCTAGAAGACCTGGATTTCGCGCGTGGATGATTTATGCTTGATGTCACACAAAATCGGAAACTTACAAGCGAAAACTGACAAATTGGTTGAAGAAGCATCCGGCGAAGACAGAACTCCAGGTGGACATAGACAAGACAGAGGTTATGAAAATAATCAACCAACCAACAACAGCAGCAGAGACATCTAGCTCCAGTCACCATCACCATCAACGGGAGGGATTTCAAAGAGGTTACTTCATTCATTTACCTACAGGCAGTTGAAACAGACGAGGATGTCAAATCGAGAATCGGGAAGGCGAGAAACATTCATCAACCTGAAACAACCAATCTGGAAATCTTCGTTACTCAACTCTTCGTCAACGACAAAATTCGGATTTTCAATACAAACAGCGTCAAGTCAGTCAGTTCCTCTATACGGAT